CATCCCCATCCCCCTACAATATATGTGTTTCAATTATTTTATTACTTGTGGTTATTTTATATTTTATTGATTATTTTATTGATATTGATTGCAAAACATAAGTGAAACTAACGTGACAAGATGATAAGATTACCGTCTTTTGCTTGCTCTAGTCATATCTTTTGCGTTATCTTATCGTTATCGTTATCATTATCGTTATCTTATCGTTATCTTATAGTTATCTAGTCATATCTTTTTCTAGTCATATCTTTGTTGGCCCAGCTGCAGCTGGGCCAACAACACCATTTTTTCAACAACTCGCTACCGTTCAGCGCTGAAAGGTAGCGAGTTGTTAAAGCAAAAAGACAATAAATGGAATTTTTTCCAAATTTTACTTTTTTTTATTACACAGTCTGGTTTTATCTTTGCTGTTGCAACAAACTATCGTTTTGTTAATAGTTTAAGTTAATACTTAATAAAAAGATTTATAATATTAATTTTACTACTTTTTATATTTAAAGTGACATGGACTGAATTAAATAGAGATTAGTAGAGTGTTCAAACAGTCTTGGTTTGGACAGACAGTCCGAACCAAAATTCTTTAAATTTTTGAACTTTTCTTTTCTTATTTCTTAAACTATTACAGTTATTGCCATTGTTTTTTTTATTTTCAAAAAAATGGCTAATAAAATTAACCTTTTAAAACCATTTTTATTTCAATTTTAGATTTTAACTGTTATAAAGGAGGTACGAGCGTAAAAATGGCTACTTTTGATAAAATTTTGAAAAATACTAAAATGAATGTTTTGAATTCAAATCTACCTATTTCAATATCTGTTTTGCAAAATATCGAAAATAACGTCCTTGATAAAAATAACAATATTGCTAACATATATGCTTGCCTGGCTAGAGGTATCGGGAAAAGCGTGAAAGTGTCTTGCAAATGATGCAACATCTTTTAGTTGTTACCCAAGTAAAGTAAAGTTACAATATTTTGAGGTTTATAAGTGTTTGGCAAGTGGTTGCCACCGTGATAGATGTCTCGAAATAAATGGCATGATTTCTAATACTACTTCAAAGAAAATTAATTTAAAAAATTACGTTTTACACTTTTTTAATTATTAGCCGGTATTTTAAACACCGTACCTGATACCAGCTTAATTTACCGCGATCTAAAGGTAAAGTGATTTCTTTATAAAGTTTTTCTTTTTTTTTTTTTTCCAAACCATCCGAGGCTTATTAAATTTTGAAGAAAATAAAAGTTTGTATATTATAGTATGCCTAATGTTAAAGTATATTATATCTTTATATATCAACAATAGAACATTAAAAATATTTTAGAAAATTGGAAAAGATTTAAAAAAATTATTATGTCAGCGAAATGATTGATCCCTCAGGTGTACTTCGGAAGCGCAGCAAGCTAACCTCTTCGGCCACTGCCAATTTTAACACTGTTTAAAGCAAACTAAAAACGAATAAAGGAAACTTTATAAACCGGTAAAAAATGCTTTAAATCAAAATCAAGGAGATTTCACCGCAATACAATTTTTAATAAAAATAAAACTTTATAAAAATAAAAATTTCTTTTGAAATTCAAAAATGTTTTATTGTTCATTTTAAAAAAATCAAAAAAGTTTTTCTTTTTTTAAATGTTGAAAAGCAAAGGTTTGTTGAAAAAAATATTTAAAAGCATGGAATTTCACGTCAGAATGTTGCGGCCAAACCGCTTTGGCGTTGTATTGTTCGATGAAATTCTTAAAACTATTTAATAAACAAAAGACTTTATAAAACGACAAATAAATGCTATAAATTAGAGGTATACCGGATATTTTTTGCCGGATATGCCTAATAGTTAACTTTTCTCAAGTTCTATAAGTGTTTATGAAGTAAAAACAGGTATTGTCATTTTACATTAAATAGTGTTCCAGTTTTAAAAAAATAAAATCAATCAAAAACTGGTATAACACAGGTATATGCGTTAATAATGTATAAAGAAAAATCGTTTTTTATCGCCAAATTTTTGTTCTTTTTTTAATTACTATTTTCTATACTTCGTCAGCACCTATACCGTGTCATACAGTTTTTCACTGATTTTTTAAAATATGACCTTGAATACTATTTATTGTAGACTGGAAAGACTTGTTTTTTCTTCATAAACACTTATAGAGCTTTACAAAAGTTCTCTATTCGGCATATTCGGCAAAATAATCCGGTGCACCTCTACTATAAATCAAAATAAAGGAAATGTTGGTCAATCAATTAATTGAAACAGTCGTGATTTTCTATTTAAACATTTAACACATGCAACATTCTATTTTATTCGAAAAAAAAACGGTTTTATTTATATGTTTATTTATTTAATATTATATAAATTTATTTTTATTAATATTATATTAATTTATTTTAATTTAATGGATTTTATTTTAACTTTATATGGATATCATGTTTCTTTTAAATGGATGCAAAACCCGGTAAAGCGTACATGCATATAACGGGCTTCCATCCATTTAAAATTAAAATAAATTTCATTAAATTAAAATAAATGAATATAGTATTAAAGAAAATAAATTTATATAATATTAAATAAATATATTAATAAAACCTTTTTTTTCGAATAATATCGCACGTTGAGAAAAATATAGCATGTTGCACATGCGTCAAATGTTTAAATGGAAAAGCGCGATTGTTGTCACGATGTTTTAAATGAATGTCACGGTTAGTTTAAACGAATGCGATGGTCGTTTTAAATGGGTATCATGTTTGTTTTAAATGTATGTAAAACCTGGCATTAAATTTAGTATTAAAATATTATAGGATTATTATATCTTGTTTGTTTAATTGCTTTAACATCGTGATTTATTAACAATTTTAACCTTTGTTGTTATTATTATTAGAATACTTACTTAATAATTGAATTAAATTGCTTTAATAATTTGATTTTTTTTTTCTTTTTAAAAACAAAAATAAAGGTCTTAAAATTTTATACTTCAAGTATAAAATGGTCTGATAAATGGAAAAAAGCGAAAAAAAATTATCCATTTATTAAAAAATAAACTTCGTGATTTTTCTCTTATTAGGAAACCTAGATAGAAAAATCTAGGTAAATATGATGAGAAATGAATGAAGAAGATTATACTTATCTCACCTGGAACATTTCATCACCTAGAACAACAAAAATAGAACGAAAAAAGCGCTACAAAAAAACACCTTTTTCTAGCAATGATGCGAACGGAAACTATAACTATCAAATAATTAACTTTTACACAGTCTGGCTCTAATGCAAAAAAAGAAATAAAAAAATTACTTCATGAACTGATTAAGATTTTTTTCAACAAAAATCTTCAAGAATTTCAAGTATTAATGAAAGGGTGGTTTTAACAAAATTGTATTAAAAATTGCTAAATACCTTCCATTATATATAAATACCATCCATTATATATAAATACCATCCATTATATATAAATACCATCCATTATATATAAATACCATCCATTATATATAATTACCATCCATTATATATAAATACCATCCATTATATATAAATACCATCCATTATATATAAATATCATCCATTATATATAAATAAAAGTACTTTTAAATAACGAGCGGAAAAATTTACAATTAAGTGACACTATCGAAAAATAAATGATAAAAGCGACGTTATTAAATTCGAAGCTTTGTAAAGATCGTTGATATATATTAACAAAATCAAATGCCCTAATATGTATCTTGGTGACACGCCTCAAGTAATATCTATTAAGTTTAATATGGATCTTTGTGACACGCCTCAAGTAATATCTATTAAGTTTAATGATAAGGATTATTTGAATAAATTATTTGCATTCGTTTCAACAAATCTGTAAAGATACCTAGCGTATATTGTGATGTTTCAAATGCATCAGCAGTACTACTAGTTTAAAGTATAATTTTTTCTGCAGAGTCATCAGCATATCTTATCTTTTGAAATATAAGGACTAGCGAATAGTGTTTTCATTAAACGAATAGCGAATAACTGTTCGTTAAACTTCAATACCGAAGTTTAAGAAAGTTATCCATGGTGATTTTATACTTTTGCTTGTTTTACAAACTTCGCATTTTTGAAAATTTTTTTGAAAATTTACATCGAAAAATTTATAAAAATATGCTCTATACATAGTATTTGCTTCTGACAAAGCTGATGTTATTCCAATTTTAAAGGATAATTATTTTTGAAATGATATTCAACTATTTCGTTTGTGAAACACTCGTTAATTAAATTTCAATAATTTAAAAAAAAGAATAAACAGTTTTATTGCAATAATCTTGTTAATACAATAAATTAAGTGCGCGACATTTGTCACTCTTCGCTTCTAAAGGGATTAGTTTTGACAGTGGACCACCGAGTATGTCGTGACACCAATGTTTTGAAAACATTATAGTGGATTATGCAATAAGAAATCAATTCCGGATTTGTGATAAAAAATAAGTAAAAATTAAAATAAATGTATGTATCAGGGCCGACGACACCAAGGAGGGCCAGGGGAGCGCGTGCCCCACTTTTTTTTTTTTTTTTTTTTTAAGAAAAGATATAAAAATATATTTTTTTAAGATATAGAAGACTTTTTTCACAAGTTGATGATTTTGCCCCCCATCCCCCACTTCAAAACCCGTGTCGTCGGCCCTGTAAATGTATTTAATTGCATATTTTAAAATGCTTTACTAAATTCATTATAGGCGGATATGTGCAAATAAATGTATTGCAGAAAGTACTATGTAGTGAAATATAAATACGTTATTTATAACACGTCCTTAGCATTTCCTTAATTTTCTTATTCTAACTTTATGCTTTTTAGAATGAGTTTTCTTGTGTTTGATTTTTATTTTAGTTACATTATTCACCTATAACATCAGGTTAGAGGTGAGTCGAGATAAGAGGTGAGTCGAGCGGTAATAATTTTTAAAATTGTCACGTGGCAATTGAAAAATTCAAAAATTCTCGGAATGTAAAATAAAATCGTTTTTTTATTTCTCAATTAAAAATCTTATGGGCAATTAAAAAACTGTTGAACCAAACAAAATGTGTCCCAGTTACGGTTTTAATTCATAATGGCATTTTAAATTTTACGAATACTTTTCACACATACCTCGTGTGCAACTGTTACTCAAAGGAAAGTTTATCATTGTTACTATAATTAAATCGTTATGGTATACTAAAAAAGTATCTATTATTTCAGATATTATTTCAAATAAAGAAAATATTTACAAAGATACCAAAAAATAAAAGGTTAAGATAAAGTCATTTATTTTTACAGTAAAATCATGATAGAAAAAAAAGTTGTTTATCTAACATCATTAAATTTTGTGTTTAAGATATTTATATTAATAGTAAATATTTAATAACCTACTTTTATAAGTAGGTATATAATATATACCTCTCTCTCTCTCTCTCTCTCTCTCTCTCTCTCTCTCTCTCTCTCTATGTATATATATATATATATATATATATATATATATATATATATATATATATATATATATATATATATATATATATATATATATATATATATATATATATATATATATATATGAATATATATATATATAATATATATATATATATACATATATCTTATACTGCTGAGTTAGGTGAGCATGATGATGTCATACTCACCTAATGTCAAATAGCCTGCTGCCGGGGGCTTCAGTACATACATCGATTGACAAATAGCCTGACTCGCCGTGGAGTGCTGCTACATCGACTGAGGGTTTGGTATGGGTCAGCAACATTTTCATTCATTATTCTTCGTTTTCCCTCATCGTTTTCTAAAAATGCTCACTTAATTTAGGCTAGCAAAAAAAGTGAGCAGTTGCGCATATAAATATGCTATAGTAGATATGTATATATATATATATTATATATATATATATATACATATATATATATATATATATATATATATATATATATATATATATATATATGTATATATATATATATATATATATATATATATATATATATATACATATATATATATATATATAGAGGTATATATTATATACCTACTTATAAAAGTAGGTTATTAAATATTTACTATTAATATATATATATATATATATATATATATATATATATATATATATTATATATATATATATATATATATATATATATATATATATATATATATATATATATATATATATATATTATATATATATATGTATATATGTATATTTATATATATAAATATATATATTATTATTATTATTATTATTATTATTATTATTATTATTATTATTATTATTATTAATGTATTTAATTCAAACAACATGTACATATAAATAGGCACAAGGTCCATAGATAAAAATAAATAAAATAATAGTCAATGAAAAGAACAGATACAGTCATCTAAAATTATCCATCATTTGGACAGTCCTAATACTCTGTTAATTAAACCGAACGCAAGCTGTTAAAGAAGCT